CAATGCTCGCCTGCCAGTCTGTGGTTTGCCTTTTAATGGTGTCTTTGAATGAATAAAAATTCTTAATTTTGCAGCCATAAAAAATAATGAGTTCACGTCCTTTGCAGGGACATGGATGAAGCAAGACACCATCATTTTCAGCAAATTAACACAGAAACAGAAAACCAAACGCTGTATGTTCTCACTCATAAACAGGAGTTGAATAATGAGAACACACGGACACAGGGAGAAGAACATCACACACTGGGACCTGACGGGGGTGGGGAGCAAGGGGAGGGAGAGCATTAGGATAAATACCTAATGCATGCGGGGCTTAAAACCTAGATGATGGGTTGACAGGTACAGCAAACCACCATGGCACCGTGTACCTGTGCAGCAAACCTGCACGTTCTGCACATATATCCCAGACCTTAAAAAAACGTAATTTTAATTCTACCATTTATCTTTTAAGGTGAATTCTTGAGTCTTATTTGGGAAACATTTGCAGATCCCAACATCATGAAGCTATATGCTCCCTGGTTCTCTTCTAGAAGTTTATTTTACCTATCATATTTACATCTATGAAATACAGGACTTTGGCAGCATCTGGAATGGGTTGCAGGGAAAACAAAGGACCCAGGACAGCAGCCTGGGCCTAAGCAGAGGCAGCATGCACGGCGGTGAGGAGCTCAGGCCTGCCACCTCCAAGCAGCATGAGCCATGACGGGTTACCAGCCGCTGCCTCAGTTTTCTCACCTGAGAAATGGAGCTGACAACATTAGATCCTTCCTGAAGCTGTAATCAGACCCAGAGGTTAATAAGGCCTTTGACTGTGCCAGATTTCAAGTAAATGCTCTATTCTTAGACAAGGTAGCATGAAAAATAAAATTTATTCTTAAAAAGTAAATGCTCATTAAGGGTTGGCAGTTTTCAGGGGCCTCTCAAGAGAAAAAGTAAAGTGAGGTTGGTGAGAGGCTGGTGAGTTATAAGAAAAACTTATAACTTTACTATAAGTAAAGTTATAGTGGGCGAGTGCAGCTCCTGGAGATTTCTAGAAGAGGCATGGAGTCTGGATCACAGCTGCCAGGCCTTGCCTGAATTCTCATAGTCTACTCTCATAGCTGTCCTAGCAGGGAAGCTTACATTTAAGGAGACTGTGGTGCAGAGAGTTGAGGTAATTTGCTTAAGGCCACACAGCAAGGAAGTGGTGGAGTTAGGATTTGAGCCCAGGCCCACACAACCCCACGTGGCCCTCTACAGGCTGCAGAAAGAGAAGGAGGGGGAGGAACAGGGGGCCATTTGGCGTCAACAACCTGGACAGGGAGGTTTCTGTGCACTCTTGGGCCAGAAACTATAGATTCTAAGAATGGAAGTGTCAGATGCTGAGAAGACATGGAAATGGGGGTGGGGGTATGGGGGTAGAGGACTCAACTAAGACATTTGAATAAAAGTGAAAATGGCAGCCAGGCACAGTGGCCCACACCTGTAATCCCAGCACTTTGGGAGGCCAAGGTGGGAGGATCACTTGAGTCCAGGAGTTCGAGACTAGTCTGGCCAACATGGCAAAACCCCATCTCTACTAAAAATACAAAAATTAGCCGCGTGGTGGTGGGCACCTGTAATCCCAGCTACTCGGGAATCTAAGGTAGGGAGAATCACCTGAACCCAGGAGACCGTGGTTGCAGTGAGCTGAGATTGTTCCACTGCACTCCAGCCTGGGTGACAGGGGAAAACTCCATCTAAAAAAAAAAAAAAAAAAAAGAAAAGTGAAAATGGAGACAGCCTGAGGAGCTGCAGGAGTCAAAGAGTGCCGTGGTTCTTAAACCCACAGGCATGTTAAAGGCAACTGGTACTTTTAAAATAACTGGATATAAAGGAACAGTGCATCCTGTTGTTCCACAGCCAAGGGACTCACCTTGAGCCGACACTGTGCCATGGTTGAAATTCAGGTGTATGTGGGCAAGAGGTAGGACCCCCTTGACTAAAACGGTCAAAACCAGTGTAAAGTTGATTCCATGAAAAGAAAGCAAACAGGGCTCATGATAGTAATCAAACACACCTGTGCCCCTTCCCCAACACCTTTCCATCCACGTGATCAGTCGTCACAGTCTTACTGAGCCCCGCTGTGCTGGGCACTGAGGAGACAAGGCTGGGCCTACAGAGCTGACCATGACCTGTATGGAATTCCCTCTGTTGGGGGAAACTGACGATTGAACTGGAGATTACAAGTCAGAGTGGGAAGTGACATAACCCAGAAGTGAAAGGGGATAGGGAGTAGATGAGGCTGGAAGGATGGAAGGACTCCGCAGTGGAAGCAGGGTAGCGGACAGCATAGGAGAATGTTCCAGGAAGACAGAAGGGCAGAGGCAAAGGATTGGAGGAGGAGTATATTCTAGCACTTGGAAGAATTTTCTAGGGGCTGGAGCACAGAGGGTGTGTGTTTTGGAGGCAAGGAAGGCAGGATTGTGTGCTCCTTTCCAGATAGAGTCGGAAGGGATTTGGGGCTGGTTCTGAGGTGGGGGAGACATAATCAGAGATGGATTTCAGAAGGAGGACTCAGCCTGTTCCTCTATGGATAGACTGTGGGGAGGGGACAAGATGGGAGGCTGGGACCCAGTTAAAAGAAAAAGACACTCACATCACCAGTCATCCGGGAAATGGAAATCAAAGCCACATGCAATATCACTTCACATTCCCTAGCATGGCTATGACACCAAAACCACAGAAAATAACAACCGTCAATGAGAATGTGGAGAAATTGGAACCCTCGTATGTTGCTGATAGGAATACATGGGGCAGCCACTGTGAAAAACAGTTTGGCAGCTCCTCAAAGAGTTAAAACTCCGACCAAGCAGTTCCGCTCTTAAGTATATGGCCCCAAAAATGAAAAACAGGGACTTAAACACTTCTTGTCCACCAACGTTCACAGCAGCATTATTCACAATAGCCAAAAAGTAGAAATAACCCAAGTGTCCACCAGCTGAAGAATGGATCAACAAAATGTGGTATAACCATGCCATGGAGCATTCCTTGGCCATAAAAAGGAATGAAACTCTGATACATGCTACCACATGGGTGAACCTGAAAACATTATGCTATGTGAAATAAGCCAGACACAGGAAGCCAATATTGCATGATCCTATCTACATGAAATATCAAGAAAAGGCCAATCCCTTGATACAGAAAGCAGGCTAGTGCTTGCCAGGGACTGGCAAAGGGGAATGGGACGCCACTGCTTAATGGATCTGGGATTTCCTTTGGGGTAACAAAAAGTTCTGAAACTAGAGGGTAGTGATGGTTGTGCAACACTGTGATGTACCTGATGCCACTGAATTGTACACTCTGAAATAGCGAAGAGGAGCAGGGCGAGGTGGCGGGGACCTGTCATCCCAGCTACTGAGGAGGCTGAGGCAAGAGAATCCCTTGAACCCAGGAGGCAGAGTTTGCAGTGAGCCGAAACCAGGCCACTGCCCTCCAGCCTGGGCAAAAGAGTGAGACACCGCCTCAAAAAAAAAGAAGAAAAAAAGCTAAAATGTTAAATTTCATGTTATGTGTATTTTACAAGAAAGACCCAAAAACAGACATGGGGTCATGAGTTAGGGGTCCCGCAAAACCCAACAGCATTTTTCCTTCTTCCCCTTTAGCCAGCAAACTCCAGGCAGTTTAGCTGGTGCTTTTCTTCCCATTGCTCCCCTAGAAGACCCACTCAGCTGCAGGTGCCCCAGCCGGGAGGCTACGGGCAGCTGTAGCCAAATGGCGGGTGGGACCCTAGCGCCTATGGAGCCAACACAAAGGCCAGAGAGAGGGGGTCATCTGGGCAGGACGGCGACTGTCAGCCTCTAGATCTTTATTTGAGGGCTGGCGCGCCCTCTGGTGGGCACCTGGAAGGGACAATGCACGACCAGGCCCCTCCTCGCTGCTCCCCTAGTCCCTGAAGCTTCCTCCCACTTCCTCCCTCCCGGTCACCGGGAGCCCCAACCCCCTATTCCTTGCCAAGCCCCCTTCCTCCCAGCACGATGGCGTTGCCCTTCCCACACGCACGGTGGCGTCTCCCGCATCGTGCACTGCTCTTCCCACCCACCTCGCGCCCCGTCCCTGCCATGGGACACTTGCATTCCCAAGTCCCGCGTTCCGATTTCTGTCCTGGCTCCATCTCTTATCTGCCCAGGAACCTGTTGGCAAAGCCCCGTGCTCAGTCCCTCTCAGGAGCCCGCCAGCAACTTTCCGCCTCCCTCACAGTCCTCGACAGCAACTCTGTAATGTGAGCCTCGGAGCAGGATTTCACTCGATTTGTTTTGTAAGAAAAGTTTACTTTTTGTTGTTGGTTGTGGTGGTAAAGACAAGGGTCTCACTTTGTTCCCCAGGCTGGTCTTGAACTCCTGGCCCCAAGCAATCCTCCCGCCTCGGCCTCCCACAGTGCTGGGGTCACCGGCGTGCGCCACCACGTTGTAATGGCTGCGCTAACCGCTCTGAGCGCCCTTGGGATGCTGGCCTGCAGGGCGCGGCGTGCGCGGCCGGGCTTGCTAGGTCAGGGCCTCGGAGGTCATCTCTGCCCCCCACAGACCCCCATGCACCCACTCCCGGGGGATCCACAGGAGGCTTCCGACCGGGAGCTCGGCCCCGCTTCCCCGGACTCCGGGCAGCTGTGGCAGGGCCACTCCTCCCTGTCGGGCGGGGTCGAGCCCTCGCAGGGCCAGGGGCGGCAAGGACTCCTCGTGGCTTCTCCGCCCACGGCGCAGGGCGCAGAACCCAGGACCCCGGACGCAGAGACCCGCACCCCTGCCCCCTTCCACACGAGGCCGGAGCCGAGGCCCAGGGTCAGATGCGCGGGCCCACGGCCGGCGCAGGGGCAGACGGGCCCCCCCAGGCGCTCAGGCGCAGTCTCCTGCTCCAGGCCTCGCGGGCCCCAGCACCTCCGCGGGCGGCCCCAGCCAGGGAGCACGTGGGCTGCGGGGCTGCGGGCCAATGGCGGGGTGGGGACCAGCAGACGCGAGGGGACCCACAGCAGAATAACACCTTACCGTGGCAGGGGCGCTGCGGTTTCTCGGGGCAACCGGAGGACAGAGGCTCAGTGCCGCAGGGCGGTCGGGAAGGCTTCCTGGAGGCTGGGCTTGAGCTGAGGGTGGGTGGGATTTCGGTGGCCAGTAGGGGGTGGGGGCCACGCCTCAGGAACACTGGAACTACTTGGGGAATGGGCGGCAGAGTGGGAGATCCAGATGGAGGAGAAGGCCGGAAAGCTGGCAGAAGTAGCCCGGACCGTGCACGCGAGCCCCTGAGACCCTGGCCCGCACAGGATGTGCTAAGGACCACCTGATCTGTAGTGCGTATCCGGGCCTGCGAGCTAGGGGAAGGGGCCACAGGGATCCCCGCCTTCCTCCAGGCTGAGACAGTCCCCAGGAGAAGACAAAGGTTGACCCATCTAGGGTTCTCTGGCAGGTGGTCAAGCCCTGGCCCGTGGAGGGGCCTGCGGACAGTGCTGGAATGGAATGTGTCGCAGGATGTCCTCATCCTGCAGGATGAAGATGTGCAGGAGTGGAGATTTCAGAGGCCAAGAGAACAGGAGAGAATCCAGAAGCCTCTTCCCAGAACCCCCAGCCCCTGCAGAGAGAGGCCCCCAGGCCTCTGGGAGGCTGTGCAGATGACACAGGAGCCCTGCTCCCCAGCGCCTGGATGCCCCCCTTAGGCCTCTCACCAGGCTCTCCCCACGACCTGTGGGTGCCCTGAGACAGTGACGGCCATGTTTTCTTCTGAACTTCCATTTCCCCTCCTGATCTGGCTAGGGCAGGCCCATGTGTTCTCTAAGGTCCCTTCCAATGTGACAGGCCAGGGTGGGTGCGTGCACCCTGCACTGCAGGGACAGAACATGCTGACCCAGATTGAAGGAGAAAGACCTTAACCCCCACCTTTCCAGGCCCAGGGCTCCAGTTCAGAAAAGCATAACTGCTATTGTGCAGGGACCGGGGTCTCCTGTGCTCAGGCTTCTTGCTGTCCTGGTAAGGCCTCCACTGCACCCACATGGGAGACTGGGGTGGTGGACACCAAGGCTACCGGGCATCAGGACTCCTGGGTGATGGGGCCACGTGACTTCACGAGGCTTTGCAGGTGTCTGACTGCCCTCCTCACCCTCTAGTCGTTGGGGTCTGAGCAGATGGACCTGCCCTGGACAGTAACAAGCCTATGGGGAGGGAGAAAACCGTCAGAGTCCTGGAATCAACCCCACTCTGCACTGACTGACCAGTAGCCAGAGCCCTAGAAGGGCCCGTGGTCACATGGAACATTGGTGGCACATCTATCAGGCTCTGTCCTCTGGGATTCTCAATCCTCCAGGAGTCTAAGCCTTGATCCTGCCACTGCAAAGAAGCTGTGGACCCTGCAGGAAGCCAGGACTAAAGGACTTCTTGTCCCCTTTTACCAAGTACTAGCGTGGCCAGGAGACCCCCACCCAGGCCGCGCTGAAGGAAATGAGAGGCAAACACCCAGATAGAACAGCAAAGTGGGTCTATCCAGGGGGCCAGCGGCCTACCGAGCTGAGAGCCTCAGGGGCTGACAGCTTTCCAGGCTGAAGGCCTGGAGCAGGTTCTGATTCACGTATTTATTCTTTCTGAACAGGTGCCTATTACTAACAAACAGGTGTTCTGTACTTTCCCATAACCCAAAAATATACCAAGTAGGCAGCTGTTACCTGCTAACCACTGATTACAGACAAACTAAAAGGTATTCTCCATGAGGGAACAACGGGGGCAGGGTAAACTTAATATTTCTCAACACCCCTTGCACTGACTGCCATGTCTCAGAGACCTGCAGACTGTCCATCAACTGGGAAGGCTGGGGTGAGCCCTGGCCTTCTGAACTCTTCTCTGGCCCCAGTGAGAGACCACATCAGCCACTGGTTTGCCGCATGACCAGCGAGTCAGCCCATCCATCTCTGGGCCTCAGTTTCTTTAAATGTAAATCCAGAACTTGGACCCTTTGGCCGGGTCCCTCCAGGCTCTAGTGTGAGGAACAGCCCAGAGGAACAGTTCTGGCTGGTTAAGGGGAAGAAGGTTCCTGCTCTTCCCCTCCCCAAGGTGTGGCCTGAGAGATCCAGGGACTGCTTCCTCTCATGCCCAGCTCCTAGGATGCCTGGGGTGGAGCCAACTTACATGATGGCATCCCTAGAACACTCTGCCAAGGTCCTATGCCATGTGACGAGCTTTCAGACAGGAATGGCTCCTTTGAAATACTCAAGGCAGCACTTCTGGCCAACACCAGCACCCAAGCTACAGAAAGCCAGCGCAGGAGTGTCTATATGAGGGTGTGGCCTGTGGGGTGTACCATGTGTACCTCTAGGTGTGTCTGTAAATGTGGGGATCTGCGGGGTACACCATGTGTGTGTCTATGTGATGTGTGGGGGGTCTCTGTGTGTTTATGTTGTATGTCTATGTGTGTGTGGGAGGGGTCTGTGTGTATGTCTGTGTGTATGCATGTGTCTGTGTGTGTCTGTGTGTGGGGATCTGTGTGTATGTCTATATGTGTGCGCGTGTGTGTGTGTGTATGTTGGGGAGTTTGCATGTGTCCGTGTGTGTGCCTATGTGTGCACGGAGTCTGTGTGTGACCTGTCTGTGTCTGTGGATGTGGAGATCGGCAGGGTGCACTGGGTGTGTGTCTATGTATGTGGGGGTCCATGTGTGTCTGTATATGTGAATGTCTGTGGGGTACACTGTGTGTGTCTGTGTGTCTATGGGAAGGCCTGTGTGTGCATCTTGCTTGTGCCCATTGGAGAGGAATTTGGGGGCTTCCTGCATGTGTGCACCTGTGCATGACTGTGCGTCAGATGTGCACACACTCAAACCACCACCCCCTTCACCACCTCTGGGCCAGGCTCTGGCTGAGTCTTTCCCGGCAGCAAGTAATTCAGGCCTCACAACCATATCTGGGAAGCAGGTTCTATATTACCCCATTTTACAGATGATCAAATGGAGGCCCAGGTATATGAAGACACTTCAGGCCTCAGATTTCTCATCTGTGTGCCCATATATATATACACACAAAACTTGGAAATGGGTAAAATGATGATCGTGTGGCTTTTATTATACATTTTCTGGGCATTCCTCCCCCAGCTGTCCTCGGACTCTCCAGAGATAAAATTCAGTTTGAGTAGTGCTGATTGGGGCCCCATGCTTTCACAGCCCTGTGAACTTAGAGCAAACCTACAGCAAACGTAAGGGTGGGACCACATCATTTGCCTGATTGAGAAGATAACCTGAAATGATACAATTTCACGGCCATGCAAGGTTAAGCAATCTTGCTTCTAAAGCAGCAATCTTACTTCAACTTTTCCTTTCTAACTGAATAATTTTTAAAATCTCTTTTTCTCATATGAGAAAATCAGCAGAAAGATGAGTGAATTGGTTTCAAAAGTGACATCTGTTACATATATACATATATATAACTCAGGAATGACCTAAATGCTAGTGAATAGTTCTGAGGATTGTTCTTTTACAACTGTGAACCAGAATCGGTCACCGTCTTTGTCACCATCACGTAGGGCTCAATCACAGTTTGAATTGTGCAAAAATGTTGTAACTCACCAAGTGAATCCCAGGTGCTGGGGGCATCGTTATTGCATTTCTTTTGCTACTGCCCCTTAAAATCCCCAGTGGGAACAGGCCTGTACTATGCCTCAGTCCCAGTGCTCCCATCCTGTGCCCACAGATGCCTGCGGGACACCTTCAGGCTGCCTCTCCCTGCTCTCACCTGGATGGGTGGTCGAAGAGAAGGCCCCAGGAGGAAGGCAACCAGGAACAGCATCTCCAGGAGAGTCTTCGTGCGCAGGAGGTGCCCTCTGTGCTGGGTGGTGAAGATGATCTGTTCAGCTCCACATCCTCCTGCCTGCCCACATCCCTCCCTAGTCCAGCACACCATGGAGAACGTGAGACGATTCTGCAGGAGTCCAGATTTGGAGCATTTGTGGTTTTCCAGAGAATGGACGCTCAGCTGGTGCAGAGGTGGGTGGGTGTCCAGAGCCGGGAAGGGGTGGGTGCAGAACAATGATGATGCACAGCTCCTTCAAGGGGGACGTTTCTTGACCCCTGCATTAACAAAAGCCCCAAAAGCGCTCTATCCTGAACTTAGTTTATCTATCTGCTGCATCTCGGAGGCTGGGGAGCTTCTACTGACAGTGGGCCCTGGGCAGTGGACAGGTGGAGGGCAGGCAAAAAAGGCAGGGGCAGAGGAGATGCCTTAACCAAGCCCCACAGACAAACTTTGGGTGCCAAGTGACCCCTCAAGTGGTAGAGAGATGGCTGGACGTGGGCAATTGGGCATCTGTTGGGAATAAATGCTTGGTGCCACAAAGAAAAATTAGGCCTGAGACAAAGGATCTTTCAGCAAAGCAATTTTTACTTCCTGGACTGCAGGAAGGGTACCCTTGCTAGCCATCTTGCCACAAGAGTACAATGAACAAAGGGAAACACACAAATTTATTCCTTATGCATTTGGGGTTGTCCTTACTGCTGTGTCTGATCTCCATTGGCTGGAGCCAGACCTCACAATCTAAACTAAAACCCGACTGGCTAACAACTTAACACTTTTCTAAACAGATAATAGCAATTGAGAGCTGGAACATACCTGTGAGCACATCCAGCAAAGATACCTTGGTTAACGTACAAGGACATAGAATGTACTACATGCCTGTAAGCATGGCATGTCTAATGGCTACATAGGATAGGGCTTAACAAAGTTATTAGCACACTTATCCTTTAATAAGAAAGACAAGTTTAAAAAGGAATTTCTCTACTTCCCACAGACTGTTACACTATGGTATTATAATCTTATGGGACCACTATCATACATGCAATCCATTGTTGACTGAGAAATCATATACAGTGCATGGCTGTGTTTAGACTGGACAAGACTTTGGTGCTAGGTGATCCCTGAAGTGGTAGAGAAATGGCTGGATTTGGGCAATTGATGGTCTCTGGGGGAGGGTCCACAGCTGAATCTGGGTCTGAAACTAAAATAGGTTTAAAAGGCTGGGCACTGAACCACAAAAGCCCACAGGCTGATGGGATGTTCGTCTCTATCCCGTCCACATGTTCTGTTCCGTAGATCTGGGAGCCAAGTTCC